GAAATAAATTTTATTAAGTGGTAGTGTATGTAACATTGCATTGTGGGTAGCAGTTTCCTGCCTTAACCTAGCCACATCCTCAGCTGTTATATGAGACAAGTTTCCCATATTTTCTGCAAGTTGACTTTAAAAAAAAGAAAAAAGAAAAAAAAAATACACAGGAGAAAATAGCTAGAAGGTTAGGATGATCTTAAACACCATATATTGGCTGTTTAGAATGGGTGCATTTAACCAAAGGGCTTTTTCCTCAGTTGCTGTACAGTCTACAAGATATGTATTTGAGGAACATAAAAAAAAGTAATACTTGCCAAAAAAGAATGTCTGAGCAGCAGGAAGAATCAAGGTGAGACACATCTGACCATTAAGACGTAGCCCCTTATTCAAAGCCTGACCAGGGGTTAGATTATTTCACTGGAAAACATCTTTGCTGTGCCATAAAGAAGTGAGAGAGCTGGCAACTCAAAGGAAATGAAAACCATTTGTACTACTTGCTATGACATAACGTACTCACTGGGTAAGAGATGACCATCTTCTTAATTTAAAGAACAGCTCAGTTTAAGGTTTAATGTGATCTTCAGTAGCCTGATTGCACTGTACAAAAAACAGACAACACTTGCTTACCCTAGAAATGTAACAGCACTTTTTCCCCCTTTATGTGCTCAGTGGTCCTGGGAACTGTCCACTTCAAACTGTATCTTACCTAGAAAAAGGTTCTAAGGCAGAGAACACAAAGTCATCATGGAAAGGCAGCAGTAACACTCAGATGTTCATTGCCCTTGCTTGCAGACACCAATAAGTACCATTTCAAAATGAAGGAATGCTAAAATAACTTTGCTGTTGCAGGTTTTTTTTTAATAACTGGCAGTTTTAGCTTTTGCTTTAACAGATTTGTATAAAAGTGGTATCAGCACACTTGAGCTGTCACAGAGATGTTGGAAATGAGAGGTGTACAAGATATCCAAGTCTAACAACAAAAGTTTCCTAAAACGTGCAAGTGTTTGAAATTGAACAGTATGTTAAATGTATTGGCTAAGAACCATCAGAAAACACAGTCCTCTTCCTCCAAAAATTATAATTACTCCTCAGTTTGAAAAACAGAGCCAAGGGGAGAGGCTTCACTCCTTAAAGGAAAAAAATAGAAGCTGCTCTAGTGGAAACAGATACATTACCAACACCCACAGGGAATACCTGCACCTGAGGAAACTGCACCAGGACTCTCTGTATTATGAAAATCAGGATCTCGTTATAGTATATAGCGTAAAACTTGCAAGCAAATGCAATTTAACAAGTTTGTCATCACGCTGTTCTAAGCAGAATATTTATACCATTCCAGTTGTAGCATAGAAACAAACATTCAAATACAAATAAACTTTCAGCAGGGTATCACACTGTTTATACGCTGGATGAACTCTTGAGTGACATAAGGCAAAATGTTTGGAAATAAAGCACAGCTTAAAAGTTCCAAAACACGTTTCAAAACCAGTGAAAGATGTAATTATCTTTTAGTGTTGCATTACAATTGACTTTTAAGATTTCATTTGTCGCCAAAGATCAAGCTCATAGTTTAGCAGAGACATTCCTTAGCATAATACTTCCTTTGTGAGTGTAATTGTGACTCAAAGCATCCCCTATGGAACTCAGAAGTGAACTTCCATTTTTGCAGATCTACCTTTTAAACAAGAGCCTGCCAGGAGCTCGTCTGCAATCAAGGCACTGGTTTATACAGTGGATTTTCAGGATTCTTGCATCTGCTTCATTAGAAGTGCAAACTAGACCAAAAGAAGCCACCGGTTTCACAGGTACTTGGTCTCCAAGTTTGGCTTTAAAATGTCTCTATACTAAAAAAACAGCCTTTTTTTTTTCAGTGAGACTTTCTACAAACTACATCTCCCATTACTCAGTTCCACTATTTGTTTTTCTGCTTTTAATGGATTTTGCCTTACTAGATGAAGACATCACTGTAGTGCTCTTGATCTGAACAGGTAAAAAAGTACATACATTAAAAAAAAAATCTTAAAGGTATCATATCAAACCAGCAACAAAGTTATTCTCTAACTTTGCATACACAAGTGAAAGCACGGAAAAGCCATTCCAGAGAAAGCCTGAGCAGAGCATTTCAATGCAATAAATTTTTAAATTCAGACTTCTCTAGGAAGTTCAATATTTTGATACTAAAGATGTGAACTAAGAATAAATTGTGGAGTTTAAAAAAAAAATCAAACAACTTTTTTCATATAAATCGAAACAATTATTTTAGATCAAGACATGAGTTATCTGTTATATAAAAATACTGCACCTACCTACCATCAAAGAGTTGATAAATATCTTCAATGCACAACTGTAGCTGAAAAATCTTTGAGCTCACAATTAAGAGTTCCACAAATAACAGAGGCAGCGAACTCCAAAAGCTTTTGCTGCATCACAAGCTGATTAAAACATAAATGCACACAAATATATTCTGTATATATGAAAATACTATCATTCTTTCCATCATTTTTATACCTCTAAGTTTTTTTTCACTGATGTTCTTAACCATACTGTGAAAATACAACAAAATAAAAGCAATCCATGGTTAGGAGAATTAAATATCATCTTTATTTTCAAATGAGATGGGTTATTTGCAGAATTCTTCTTTTTCATTTTATGGTAGAATTGTATAAATTTGGCACTATCTAATAACTTTCAAGGTACTGAATTAAGAACAATGCAATTTACCTTACAATAATTATTAGGAAAGCAGTTTTTATGAACAGTTTCATGTTGTTTTGATAAATATATAACAAAAATCAAAACACAATCTGTATTTGTTACCAAAAAAAAAAAAATTCCTTTCTCATTTTTCTCATTCCCACAAAACAGAGAACCTGCTCCCCACCCACACCTCCAGCTATTCATATCACACCATTGCTGGCCAATTTCTTACTGAGAAGGCTGAGGACAAAGGAAAATAAAATAAAAAAAGGAGGGATGGCAGCTTCAAAGAGATGTATTTTATTTTACAAATAAAACCTGAGCAATATCTAGAAAATGTTTTACACATTTCTTCTGTCCCCAAAAAAACATATGACCAAAAAAAAAGGAAAAAATTTAACTCACTCAGCTAAAACCTAAAAACTACAGTGCATCTGTGATACAATCGGGATAATATGAAAAGTTCTAGATATAATGCCCAAAGAGGCAAAAAAATGAGATACTTTCTCAAAGATGTTTCCAATTTTGTTCTGAATCTGAGTGAGCAAATCAAGACTACTAATACACACTGTCTGTGCCCATTATTCCTTACTACACACAGCATTTTGCAATTTATTTCAAAGCCTCTATTATAAACAAAAAAATACTGCTTTTGTTAACCCACTCCATTCCAGTACAGTCAGGGTTTATGTTACACAATCAAAGTCAAAGTTACAATATGTTAAGTATATGAAAAAGTATTACACACACACACACAGATGATATGAAGTATCTGAACCTTACATATGCATCAAATTTATGTTTCATTTTAAAACTAAGTGTTAACATTAGCTGGTGAATTAGCAGTTATTTATAGTCTCCCCAAAAGTTTGAGACTGTTCTATTTCTCTTAAACACCCAAAGTATAATAAGCAGTAATTAATGTAAGAGCAATCAAATCCTCCCAACCCTCACAGCTCACTCTGCTACACAACGGCCACGGAAAATCCTCCCAACACCGGTATTCCAAAGCATCACTCAGGCTGCAGCACACAACTACTTCTGATATCCAAACGACATATTTTGCCCCAAATATAAAGGAAACATAATTGCCCTTAATTTGCATTACATAAAACTGCCAAGCAGTTTTGAAGGCATGTAAAGCAAGGCAGTCATGATTTAGGATTTGCAAAGGAATCCCCAGACTAACACTCCTGTGACAGCCAATTACAGTAAAAAAACACAAGCCCAACAAGCAGCCTGCTACTAGACCTTAGCAAAGGTAAAGTTTCTTACAATGAGTTACAGATTCACAAGTATAAGACGAGAAAAAGTAAAACAGAAGGAATCCAGCCACCCAGCAAATATGAAGCAGACCCAAGATCGTGATACAATCCAAAGATGTAAATTATTGTAAATCATCACTGTTGTTCAGAATTTCACACAGCCACTTGTGCCAATTTTGCTCACTTTTCCACAGACACAATAATGGAGGAGGGAGAGGGAAGGGAGGGGAAAAATAAGAAGGGAAAAAAAAAAAAAAAGGAGGGGGAAGAAGAGTGGGGGGAACCTGAACTGAGAGTACAAATAAAGTTCTGCTGTCCATATGCTTTAACTGTACAGAAGTTTGGGCTCTTACAGCATTTTGTACTCTCTCCAAAGCCTCATGAGTCACAAAAATTAAAAAACTATATCCCTCTTGATGCCAGGAAGGGCCTTACCACGGGCCTTTTGTCAAAATACAAAAAAATAAAAAAAAAAATTAAAAGAAAGAAAAAAAAAAAGAAAAAAAAAAAAGGAGAGAAAGAAAAAGCCACAGTGTAGGCAGTCCTACTTGGAGTCCTCTGATGTCACAGCCACATGACTCGCTCGCTCCAGTAACAGTGCTTGCAAAAAAAAGGAGTTTTAAAGCTTTTGCTTTTTTGGATTGTGTGAATGCTTCATTCGCCTCACAAACAACCACAGAACCACAAGTGCGGTGCAAACTTTCTCCAGGAGGACAGCAAGGAAGCCTCTGGTTTTTAAATGGTTAATCTCCGCAGGTCACTACCAGCCACTGAGACCAACAGAGTCAGTAAGTGCTCTCTAACCACAGTCTATGCAGTAATAGTAGGTCCTTCAAATATTTGCTCATTCTCTTTTTTTTTTGTTTTGTTTCCTTGCTTTTCACATGTTACCAGTGCTACACAATTTTTTGACAGGGAAAAAACCAACTCTAGAGCCTATGCAATCCAGGGACACAGTAAAACTAAAACAAGGTTTGGCTATGGTTTGTGTTTTCAGTTTGAGGATCCAAGAAGTATTTACACCAGGAGGTGAAAGCTCCGCGTGAACCGACAGGGACTATGGCATCAAACAGCCTGTTCAGCTCAGTGACACCATGTCAGCAAAACTTCTTTTGGGGTAAGTGCTGCAATACTTGAGCTTCTGTTTGCCCTTGTCGGGAGTTTTCTTTCAACAATGCTGGTTAGAGTTATCTAAACTAAGAAATGCTGAATGGGATGTTAGTGTTAAAACAGTATACCTGGTTGTTGGGGTTTTTTGGGGAGGCAGTAACTGTAAATAACTTGTGCAGATTTAAGAACAAATTTGTTCTTAATAGAGCTGACAAGCTGAGCAAAGGGAAGTCGGTGGCTTAGTCCTTAGTGTTTGACAGCAGGTGTGTGCTCAGCTGTCACCGGGGTCAAGGTGTAGCTGCACAAATCTGGAAGGGTCTGATGGGATCTGGTGAAATGTTTATTATCTTAGGGCAAAAGATAAAATACTTTGTGAGCTAATCAACAACAGCACAGGGAATCTCATTAAGAACTCTGGTAACACTTTCAGATGTTTCCACCATGACTGGTTAATGAAAGATAACTGTAAAAGACTTAGATCACAGGAGTTCAGGCTGCTTGTTCTCTAAACTGGATGAAAGTGAGTAGTGTGGAGCATATGGCAGCATATTCTACCCAAAACTGCCCTTTCCTTGTTCTAGACATCTGATTTTTAAGCATATATCTCAGATAAAGTTATCAGTGCAAATCTGCAGTTCTCTAGTCCTTAGTTGCTCTCATTTCACAGCAAAGCTTGTTTGATAATATATTCAATTGTAAAAGCAAATTCTTCTCGTTGCACTTATTATGAACAAGGCAAAACATTCATGCATTAAAATATTAAGCTATGAAATAAAAAAATACATGATCTAACATGCTGGTGAATTTTAAGTTTAATTGAAAGTGGGATTTTAAAAAGTCTGTAGAAGAGCACTGCCAAATATTTACTTCAATATTCTGAACTGTAAACACAGTTTCCTTTAAGAAATCATATATGTATATTGAGGTAATTATTTATACACACTGTACATAGAAATGCTCATAAAAATCATGAATACACTATAAAATTGCACCTCTATCATTGCTTACTTTGAAAAGTTTCTTTATCTCAGATACAGACTTAGAATCAATAGAAAGCATCTCACTCACAAATATTAAATAGAACTGAACATGACTTTAAGTGATTCATCTGCAAGTAAAATGAAATTATATTTTAAAGCGCATTGGTAAATGCTTTATTCTGGTCACTCTTGATGAGTTGCAAGAAGCATAGTCACAAAATTTTTTCAAAGCATCTTTTACTGAAGCAGATCAGGAAGACTAACTGAAAACTCTGAAAGCTCTAGGAAAAAAAAATAGTGAAAACTTACAAGATTTTCTTAATGGTGTCCATCATGTTGAAATTATATTGGGACCGTAGCTAAACCTATTTCTTTTCCTCCCTTGCCCCCCTTCTAAGAAAAACAACAATGCTAGAACCATTTTCAGTTATACACCCCCATTATTGTAATGAATTGATGACTGGGGTTCCTTTTACCCCTCCTACTTCACACGCTTTGACTGGTTCCCAGTTAAGCACATGAATAAGCTCTAAGACCGTGTGTAGGAACAGAAAGGAAGAATAGCTTCTGCCAGGAGGAAAACCAATTTAGTACATGATCTATAGATACCAGAGGAGATACCATGACCCATGGCTGGTCATGCAGCTGTAATACCCTGAATATTGAGCTGAAATGCAAACACAAACCCGGTAAAGCAACTTTTCTACCCAAACTGGTGTCTTAACGAAGCACAGCAGAAGCACAGCCAGACCACATTATCCCAGTGTTTACAACAGGAAATACAGTTTACATGTATAGGGACTTTCTTTTGCTTTTACTTCCAAAAGAGATTAGAAGAAACTTAGTTGGCTAAAATTATCAAAACACGGAGTTTGACTGTTTAATTCACCTAATTCTGATAATTCCTAAAGCGAGTGGGAAGTACTGTGATACTGTGATTAATACTTGCCCCAAACTTCACCAAATAGGGCTGGGTACCCAAATTTCACTTTGGACACAAACAACAGATGCAAGGGACTACAAAATCTCATCAACTCTATCAATGTGTAAGCAATATATCTTGAGCTAAAGACAACGTTTTTAAAAACCCACTTTTATAAAAAGGGAGACAGAGTTTATTTTTAAAAGAAGAAAAGCCAGAAGACCCAAGTTACTCAAGAATTTGCTGTTCAGTGATACAGTAGCATGTCAGAACCCACAATCTGTTCTTCCTTTCTGTACTGTCTACATCTCCTTCTGCTCCCATGTCCTCCTTTCTCCCTTCAGGACTTTTGAATTTAATTGTTTCTCATCAAGAATTAACAGATGAAACATAATGACAAGTCGTAATAGGGCAGGAAAACAGCGCTGTGATTAACCTGCATGGCTGCTAATCTTCGCCATTAACCGTATTCCCAAAAAATTTTATTCCACTTATTTTTGTCTGCGTGGTTTTGACTTCATATAAAAGGGAAAAACAAGAGTAGCAACGAGGAAGGATCCTTTCCTATTCATGTGAACATATGTATTCCTCTCCAATTTAGTGCATTTGCATTAACTAGATACTGTGTTTCACTTCCAATTTTTCCTTGAGTCAGTTATACCCAGGCTTTGACTGCACCAAGCCCATGTAAACCTTCTCAAGCTTTTAAAAATAACTTATTTTTAAGTTTCATTTCAACCAGCAAAGGCTATTGTCTTCACATCCATAGTGTTTGAAGGGGGGGAAAATGGCTGAAAATAAACATTAAGGAAAAAAAACAAAAAAACAACCGAACAGCCTATTTATTATAAAATTTGGGAAACATCATTTATACGAAGTATTTCAGAGAGTGAAATCTTTCTGAAATGCCTCCAACAACAGTTACAATTTAAAAAAAAAGGTATTTTCAATTCTATTCTGTTGAATTGGAGGATTTCTCTGATGAAAGGAAATCAGATCCCAATTTGGCTGATAATTCAATCAATTATTTCACATGTAATTTCTGGATGCTGATCCCAACAGAGAGACACAGTAAACCTAAACTCTTCGAGTTACAACAAAAAAAATTTACTCTGCTTATATTAAAATACTCTACAATACCTTCTTATTTAGTCATCAAAAAAACCCAAACCTTTTGTACATCTCTATTCTCAACTGCTTTATTATTTGGTAAGGAATCTTAGGGGTTTTTTATTTTAATTAGGATATTGATAAGAGAGAAACAAATCATTTCTGATTATCTATGCATAGAAAGCAGAAGTTTTCTCTCTGTTCCAGCTCTGTTTAACATATCCATATTATTGTGAATGCTAAGCAAAATCTCAGGAATCACTGTGCTTTGCATAAAATATAATTTAAAATACCAGGACTTTAAAACAATAACAGTGCAAACTATGCAATAATGGCTATTCTCATGTGCACCAAGACAGCGGCAGCTTCGCACTGAGGCTTTTGGTATCTGAGAGCCCCAAACCTGCAGAACTGCCCTGCACCACTCACAGCCTTCCTGGGCAGCAAAATGCACTGATCTGTTTAATTATCTGTCTCAAATGGACTATTAATAGCCAGCATTACTTAAATCAACTACATCGATGTAAAATTTAGCAAGATCAAAATGTTCCAGTTTGTTAGAAGAACACTGAAATATCTGATGGTTAAATAAACTGGGAGAGGGAAAAAAAAAACCCTCCCTCATTAGGGGCACTAAGATTTTATCAAACATACAGGATTAATCTCTATTGAATAGAACCATTCACAAATCAAAACTTACTCTACTTCAATACTTTCATGCAGTGCTAATCAATTACAACCTTTTCTAGTTATTCGAAATCCATGTGCTTTTAATTTTATTCACTGGTGGTCTAAAATATAATATTCAGGCCAAGCTAAGTCATTTTGTATTGCAACTTTGCTTTTTTTCAATAAATATTCATCTAGAGGTTTTCTTAGAGAGAACTGCTCATATGAAGACTGTGGTAATATTTTTATACTGTACCTCCTTGTTGAAGCAAAAGGTTAGGGGTTACCTAAATACCTCAACTGTATATACAAAAAAAGGAAAAGGTAAGTATTCACATGAAAAATCCAAAGGGACTATATTATTTATTTTTGCATTTCCTATGATTAATGATGCACCAGTGCATACTTGAAAACTGAAGTCAAAATAGGGTAACACCTCAAATTCCTTTACAAACTGTACAAATATCAAACTTCCATGCTGTATTAACTACTCTACCAGAAATATTTAAAGGCTCTGCCACCCCACATTAAGAGCATAACAATAATACTGAAATTCCTCTCAAGCTGTGTGATTTCTTGGTCATGGTCAGGCTTATATTAATCTTAAAGCTGCACCTTATACCTTTATTTTTCTCGGTTGCTTTTCAGCAGAGAGTCGCACTTTATGAACAACAAGAAGCTCAGAGCAGTCTTAAGTAAATAACAAAACATCTAATAATGCATCCATTTAAGTGAAAAGGGAAAAATAAAGGAGCAAATAACGCTTGCAAAAGATGCTAATTAGGCAGCGCAGACAGTTCAGGAGAGCCAGATAATTGTGTTTAAGGACTGTCACACCTTGTGGCAGACACCCATCAACGGGCAACATGAATAACAACTAAGAAGATATACTTTCTAAAACTCTAAGTGCCAGATGCTGAAAATACAAGCAAAATTTGGCGTTATTTTGTGCTCGAGTTCAGCACACCGCAGTGGAAATGAAAGCAGAGAGGGAAGGGAGGAATTATCCCGTGCTGGCCAGGCTGCAGAGGTGCTGAGCAGCAGCGTTTCTCCTGCCTGGCTGTGACAGGAGCCAAGGGCAGCTGTCAGTGCTGGGCACCTCCCGAAAAATCAGACCATCAGTATGTTTTCTATGTACCCAATAAAAATCAACATTGTGTGTTGTACGGGAAGGAGTTGGTTCTGAAAACTCATTAAATACACTCCATTAATAAGAATTACAATAAATTGCCATGTTTAAAATGCCCTAGAGTATATAATATTTTAATCAAGGCAGCCTCAAGATAAATAGTGAGTTTAAGATGGTAAAACCCGAAGCATTTTAAG